TTTTTTTCGTAGTGGTCCACTTGGTTTAACAATCTCAGGAAGTGAAGATGTATTTGAACCAATTATTGTTTCAGATTTATGTGAAGGTGGTTTAGCAGATAAGTAAGTTAAACACAATAAAATATTTATTAATATAAAAAAAATGTTTTTATTTCGTTCAGAACAAATGCAATTCATATTGGTGATCGTATATTAGCGATTAATGATGTTAGTTTACGTGGTAAAGGACTTAATGAAGCAATTAAATTACTACAAGCAAGTAGTGATGAAATAACACTAAAAATCTCTCGAATAATTAATCCACAACAAAGTATTTTTGAAAAAAAAACTATAGATGTTATTTTATAAATTTTTTAAATTATAGAATTATCTCGTTCATATCATCATCCAGAAGATTATACACCATCAGTTGATTCAGCGATGGAATCATGGGATAGTTCAAATACAGATCATCGTTTTAGTGATAATAGTGAAACAACAAAAGAAATTATTGTTAATGATCATCAACAATATTCAAATTATCAAGATACATCAATGCTTCATACATCCCGAAGTAAGAAGAAATCTAGAGTTTATTTTTCTAAATATCATATTTCTTTTTCTCAAGGTGATTTTGTACTTAAACCACAACAAACACATTCAGTACCAATAGCAATAAGTTCTACACGTCCGATAGGTGTTATAGCACCAGCATCAGAATATCGAACACCACCAACAAATGGTCGCCCACTTGAAGCTATACGTCATTCAGATAGTGGAGATAGTATACATGGAAATGAACGTCAATTTTCAACGATATTAAATGAGAAATCATTAAGAAATAATACAAATTTTTATGATACAAAATATGATAATTGTTCATCATCATCATCAAACAATCGACCAAAATATGATACAATTACTTTAGTACTTAATCGTGATAAACGTATACTTGATTTTGGTTTTTCAATATCAGATCGACTCTATGGTACAGGAGTTTATGTTAATAAAATAAGGCCGCATGGACCAGCTGAATTGGAAGGAACATTAATACCATGTATGAGAATATATAAAGTATGTTAATAATTTAATTGAAATATTTTCTCTTTTCAATACATATTTATTTATTTATTTAGGTAAATAATATAGATGTAACACGTATGGAATGTAATCAAGTAGTACCTTTATTATCTACGTCACCCGATCAATTAATACTTGCTGTCGGAAGACGACCAGCACCTATGTTTGATGAAACAGATGAATTATTTGATATTGATGAAGACGAAGATGAAGATGAACACCAATCACCTATTATTAATGAAAGTTCAATATGGAATATATCAATGAATACAACAATACATGATAATAATAATAATACAACAACAAGTTCGAGTACGACTACAAATAATACATATTCACTTCTTCCTTCATCAAAAAAAAGTACGGTATGAAATAAAAATCTAATAGAGTTTTAAGCGTGTTCATCTAGTCAACTCAGACATCCGTAAACACTCATATATCTGTATTCTCATTTGTATAGTTTTTCTATCATTGTGAAAAGACATTCGGTATAAAAAAAAATGTATTGTTTTTCTTCTTTTTTTCTATTGGCATATACATATTATAGAACTGTATTACATTTATTTCAAAATGTTTTATTTGATAAAGACGTAATAAAATAAATAAATTCCTCATTATTACAATTAAACAATATCTATTATAAATAAATTATATTTTTTTTGATCGATATTATAATGAGGATATAAATAACATTGTAATCAAGGTTATCGATAATGATTTATTTATTTATATTTATCTGCAGGATTATAATAATAAATCATATGCATAGCAACATGAATTCTCGTGAAATAACCCGTAGAGAAATTCATATAAGTAATAATAATACTCAGCAGTAGTAGAAAGAATTATGTAAAGCAAATAAAAATATTTGCAGAGAAATTTATATTCTATTTACAAAAGCAAAATATTATTGAAAGTTTCGCTTTCTTCTATAAAATTTAACACAATTGATTTTATATTATATGATACTGCTGAAGTCTTCAATTGATTTTTATTGAGAAGAGTAATAAAATGAAAAAAAAGAACAATCACTGATGGACAACATGTTTATTTTCTCGCCATTTGTTTGTAACTACATATGAGACATTGAAATGAGAAAAGAATTGTTTAAAAACGAGATGTGTCTAAAGGTATCATAGGCACTTGGTTTGTTGTTACAGATTCTATACAATAAAAATAGAAATTATTCGGAAGTTTTTATTTTAATCATTACGTTTTCTTCTGTGTCTTGGTACGTTATCATTCGATTGTTCATATCGAATATTCGATGCATCAATTATTGTTGGGTGTAAAATACGTAATGTAGTTGGATCATATTCTTCCATATCTTCAACTTCATCTTGACTTCGAGCATGTACATTTACCTAATGAAATAGAATATCATCTAACAACTATTCAGTTTTAGTATTTTTGTCATACGCGTTTATGTGCATTATGCATAGTTGAATGAAGAAAATCTTGTATACTATCAGATTTTTTTGGTGCTAGTATTGGGTTATTATTTAATGGTGGCATTAAAACATAATCGTCATTTTCTGATACACTAGAAGTAAACGAAATTTTAATTTGACTAAATTAAATTGAAAAAATACGAACATAACAGGTACAATACTAGTTTTTCGACTATTCGGATCTTTACTATTCATAACAGCAAGTAATGTTCTCGGTTGTGCCGATATATTTGATCCGGGTGTTGTTGCTTTTGTACTTGGTTGTTCTTCATGTAATTTAATAGCTGTGTTTAAATCAATATTACGAAATGTTTGCCATAAACGTAAATCTAATTTTTCTTCTGGTTGTTCACGTAGTAACCATTTTTTTATATAATTCTGATCAAATTTATGATATCTACATAATAATAGAGATAAATTTCAATTTCAAATTTCTTCTATTCTCACTTATTACGAAATGAATTAGCACCACTTATACCAGCAACATCTTCTAGGCAAGTCATAACATGATCCATCATCTAATTAAAAAAAACGAATAATCAAAGAGAGTTTTCTTGCTATTTTGAAAATTTACACGATTTGTTAATGTTGCACTCATTGTTGGTTCTTCAATTTGTTTTCGTCTTACATTAAGTAGTTTAACTAATGGACCTAATGTTGTTCCCTGAAGATAAAAACAAAAAAAAACAAGATTATTGAATTCAATAAAATATTTTTTTCGAAAATGTACTTGAATAAAAACAGTAAATAGAATAACTACTGTAGCTGCTGTTATAAATTCCTTTTTTCTTGCCGTTACATTTTCATCTAATACAAGTGCAAGTGCAAATGCTAATGCACCACGAAGGCCACCATATGACATAATTAACATATCAATACGAGTTAATTCAACAAGACGACGAATATTAGCTAAATTAGCAAATATTGCAACACCTATGATAAATAAAAATAATTATTTACGAAGTATAAAAGAGAAAAGATTTTGTTACAAACCAATAGCACGATAAATAAGACACGATAAAAGTGTTACAATAACAAAACCTGTATTCCATGTTTGTTGTTCCGATACTGTTGTTAAACCCAAAAACATAAATATTATTGTTTCCATTATATTTGAAGCCATTTTAAGAACATATTCAATTGTAGCCATCGATTTTTTTGTTATATTATATTCAACATATTGTTTCATCATCTAAAATAATTCTAAAAATTAATAATAAAATATGCATACTATATAACATACCATTCCACATATAGTTATACTAGAAAAAAAAAACAAGAAAATAAAATTAGATTAAAATTATAAAGAAAACTTACGCTAAAATCCCAGATAATCCAGTCATTTCAGCAATAATATAAGCAATATAAGCATACATAAATACAACTAATGGTTCAAGTACAGGTGTTCTCTCTGTAAATTTTGTCATAAAAACAGCCATAAAACCAAATATAAGACCAACAAGAATACCACCAATAGTAACAACAAAAAATGAAACAAAACCAAGAGAATAATCCACTGGAGCTAAATTAGTATGACCAATCTTTAAAAAACCTGCGAACATTCGATAGAGTACCTAAAAAACAACAAAAGATTGATTAATAATTTTAACATCAAGTAACTATTGAATTATCTTATTAGATATATATTAAGCCAACAATTCTAACTTACAATGGAAACAGCATCATTGAGAAGTGACTCTCCAAAAACAACAATATATAATGTATCATTAACACGAATTTCTACAAATGTTGCTAATACAGCTATTGGATCAACAGCAGTGATGAACGAAGCAAAAAGAAGACATTCAAGTAATGAAAATGTTGTTCCACCATACAATGATGTTTTTCCGAATGCCCAAAGTGTTAATCCAATGCATGCTGTATTAAATAGTTTATTCAATACAGCCAATAATAATATTGTACCAAGATTATCAAAAAAAGCTCGTTTAGGTAAAAAATAACCTGTTTCAAGTACAATTGGTGGTAATAGAAATAAGAAAAAGACATCACTATTAAGTACATAAATTCGTTTTTCTTCTTCAAGATGTGTTATATATAAAAGAACACCAACGATAATACCCAAAATAATAAGAAGACAACTTTCGGGAAATTTTTTTGTTAAACGATGTGATAAATGAAATACTAATGAAAAGAAAAATAAATAAATAAAAGAAAAGAAAATTTTTTCTATACTGATTTTTGCTAAAATTCCAAGTAAAATCCAAAGACAAATACCAAATACACTTGCAACATGCGGAAATGTAATTTCAACAACAGGAAAATGTTTTCGACCACCTGTTGTATCCTCCGATGATGATGCTGCTGCCGGCGATGAACTATCGATAGATGATATAAAGTTTATCAATACCAGTAAAGGTGAAAGTTTTTTCATGTCTAAGATTAATACGATCAATGTTCGTATGTTATCAATTAACGATGTTCTCTTACAAAAATATATCAGGAATATAAAGGTGAATAATAGATGTTTATGTCTTTCTTTTTTTTTCTTTTAAGACAGATGATTATTTTAACATTAAGCAAAAGAAAAATAGGTAAAAATCATTAATAAAAATCAGATTTAATGTCGAAAACGTAGTTTTGTTATTGTGGACGATTCAAACAAAACTATATTTTGATAATATTTTATTATTAAATGACAGAATAGTGAGAGAAAAATGAGACTAAATAGTACATAGAGAAAAAAATAAAACCTATTATGTCAGTTCAACTTTTATATTAATCATCAAAGATTTTATGTAAAAACAAAGTTCTATTGACTTGTTAGAAGTATTCTATAAATATTATAAAATTTTATTCTTAGTTGTTATAAGCGACTAAACTATGAATTCAATAAGTCAAAGTGCTATATTTATACGTTCTTTATCATAGTTCCACTCCTTCCATGTTATTGAAAATAAATTATTAATCGAAGACACATTAAAATGTTTATAATTTATAATCAATTAGACTTGTTTAAGTATATATCTCAAAATTAAACCGTTATAAATTTTACATTATACAATATTCTATTAATGAAAAGTATAGATAATCATATATTTTCTATCAAAAATTCTTCCACAAATATTGGAATGACTAAAAATTCGAAATATTGTTCATGATATTCGTAAAATTAGATTTATCATCGGATATATTGATACGTTTACTATTGTAAATAAGAAAGATGGTTAATATATATTCATCTCGCACAAAATAATTTTTATTCGTTTTAAGTTTTTCATTTATATCTTAAGCATGTGTGACATCTGTAGAACTGTTGACATATCAACGGAAAATGAAAGCCATTCATTCAAAGTGAAATATGATTCATTTATAAAAAAAAGAAGAAGAAAAGAATAAAGTGTCCCATCTACTCATATTTGAGTTATTTCGTTGTGATAACGTGCGCACCAAAATAATGGTACTTATAGCAGTAAAACAAATCGAGCAATGTATATTTTTCTAAAATATAAACTAATTCAATTATTATTATTTTTTATTATTTAAGCTGTGTTATTAAATGATTATGAAAATCTATCAATACTTGGTGTGGATCAAGGTGGTATTTTACTTTTTTCTGCAATAACTAAAAGCCTTTCACGGGTAATTATTTCTTTTATTTTTCCTATAAATAAAATTTACTTGTCCATATATGAATATTTAGAGTTCTGGTACATCTCGAACTGTTATTGGTGGTGTTCAATTAAATGATGGTGATCAAAAGGTTTTTATTTTAAATGTATACATATAAAATATACTATTTCGTTTTTTTATTCAAAAAAAGATTTATTATCGTCATTCGACATCTGTAAAAATTACACATGCAAGTATTAATTCAGAACGATCATTATGTTGTAAGTTCAATATATTTATTTTCTATGTATATATATATTTTAAAATAATAACCCTAATAGGCTTTGTAATACGTTCAGGTTAGCTTTTGCTAAAAAACGATTTTATGAAAAAGAATTTTTGTTTATATAATTTATTTTTCTCTTGATAGAATCATCTAATTATGATGCATATGTTGCTAGAATTGGTTCAACAAATTCCGGACGTTTATTTTCATTGAAATTTTCACGTCCAAGTCCAATACGAGCATTTCTTGCACCTCATAATGTTATTTTATTACTTTATCGAGATGGTTTGAAAGAATATTTTAAATAATGAAAAAAAACGAGTTAAATTTTATTTTATTTAGCTATAACTGTATTTCGAATGCCTAGCAGTGATGGAAGTGTAATAATTCGAAAAAAAATATTTCTTTATAGTTTCTATTCTTTTATTTAATAGGAAAAATCAATTGCTGTTGAGAAAGATGCACAATTAAGTGATTGTATCTATTATCAATGGGATACAATTCAACAGCGATTACATGTCATACAAAAACGTTCAGTAACATTAGTTAAAACAATGCCATCTAGTGATTATGAGACGTTGGTATATACAGCTTATACTATAAATGCTAGAGGTCAATTTGATAGTACTGTAAGTTAAATTTTATTGAATTAAAATTTAAATAAAATTTAATTCTAGATGAGAGTATATTTTGATTTAAAAGTACCATGTAAGAATTAGATATTTATTAATTTCTGTTAACTTTAAGAAATATGTTTTTCAGCATCCAGTTCAGTTCATTCAAATTTTGAAATTCTCTCCAATGATACAAATCTATTTATTTGTTGGCAAGCACTTATAAAAGTAAAATAGAATAATTTATAATTGATTAAATGTATAAAAATTAAATGATTTTTATTTAGGAAGGAAGTAAAGAAGTTGAATATACAGTTGTATCACTTGGTCATGGTTAGTTTAATCAAATTTGATTTTGTAAATTTAAATGAATTTATTTTAGGTCGTACTCTTTCTATAACAAAAGCATTAAATCGACAAAATCGAGAAATATTTCAATCACGTAAAGTTCATTTTGGACTTCTTGGTAAATTTCAATGAAAAAGAAAATTTTTATTATTTGAGGAAAAATGATTTTATTACTTAGGTGGTGATTATGTTTTTGCTATTTTACGCGGAGAATTTATTGATTTACTTAATTTTAATATACAATTAAATTTTCTTAATCATCTATTTTTTCCAAATGATGATGTTAGTTTACCTTATGATACAAAATATATTACACAACGTGGTCTTAATACAGCAACATCTACGCTTCTTTATGATAAAAAAAATCTTTGTACATATACTATTGAAATAAATGGAAGTGAACTTATTAAAACAATTTCATCAACAACAATTCAATCAATTATTGCATATGC